AAGGACATGGAAGTGTTGGAGCGGGTCCAGAGGAGGGCTACAAAAATGATCTGAGGGCTGGAGCACCTCTCCTATGAGGACAGGCTGAGAGAGTTGGGGTTGTTCAGCCTGGAGAAGAGAAGGCTGCGGGGAGACCTGATTTACGGCCTTTCAGTACCTAAAGGGGGCCTACAGGAAGGATGGGGACAATCTTTTTAGTAGGTCCAGCTGTGACGGGACAAGGGGTAATGTTTTTAATCTAAACCAGGGTAGGTTTAGACTAGATACAAGGAAGAAATTCTTTACAATGAGGTTGGTGAAACACTGGCACAGGTTGTCCAGAGAGGCAGTGGAGGTCCCATCCCTGGAAACATTCAAGACCAAGTTGGATGGGGCTCTGAGCAACCTGATCTAGTTAGCAGTGTCCCTGCTCACTGCAGGGGTGTTGGACTAGATGACCTGTAGGGGTCCCTTCCAACCCAAAACATTCTATGATTTCCATCAAACTTTCTATGCTGGTTTATTCAGCAGTGACCAATCCTCCTCAGGATCACGAAATCACACTAAATGTTTTCATATGATTAGAAAACATAGAATGTCCCTTAATCTGTATGTTAAGCATTTAATTTTACCAATTACAAATTCTTTTATGTATAAAAGGATGGAGCTTAAGGCTATGCAGTTGCTTCCTCCTTGATATCCCTTAATAATTAGGTACCAGACTGACATCACTGTAATAATTTCTGATAATGTGCTAATATTTGGCTGTTTGGCCACAATGTCACTGTGAAATAAATACGATTTGGATGCTGCCAGCAAGCTGCAGTATGGACCTCCTATCTATAAACCCTGCTTTAGCAGAATGTTTCTTAGTTCTGCCTCCTGAGTATGTTCCCTGACATATGAAAAAGTGGTGCCAATGTTAGTTCCTAGTTTAAACATACAGGGGTTTTTTATGTGGTACTTAAACACAGCTACCTGTAAAAATGAATCAAATCCACTCATGCTTTGTTTTTCCTACACTAGATATGTACTACATAAGACGCAATGGGTTATGGTCCTTGCCCATCTCTATTTCAATTCTACTCTGTGCTCATTTTTCATTAAAAAGGATGCCCAGAAGATGACTACTTGGGGCTTATGTCATGAACACTTATGCCAAAAAAGAAACATAGGGATGATACTTCCAGGGACTGCATCTGCATTTTCATGGATAGATAACCTCCTGACCTTTAATAATTTACAAAGACCTTTTTATTCCTGTCTGATCACCTCATCTTAATGCAGAAATTATACTGTCTTTAAGTGCAGGGTCTTTGAGGCTTGTTTGTCTGGTGGTGGGTTGCTGGGGTTTTTGGTGGGTTTATTTTTTGCAGGGGAAGGAAAGATAGAGAGGGGTGTGTTTGTTTTGGGGATTTTTAACAGTTGTCAAAATTATCCGATTTCGTCTGCACAATATTCCAATCTTTTGCCTAAGTAAGAGGAAGAGCTTTGACCTCTACTACACCAGTAATTCCAGCTTAGGAAGCCCCAGCAGTAGCCTCAGTCATACACTAACCACATTACCTCTTCTTTGCACCTTATTCATCAATCTGGAGCACTCTCTTGCAGCAATATCTTTACAGGTGGAATCTCCTCTTTAGATCGCAGTATTAGGTATTAGATCACAGTATTGGGTATAACTGGCAGAATTTTAGTGGTGGGGGCTGCAGAGTGCCCTGTGTGGAACAAGGACACTGACTGCCCTGTGCTGGTCCCAGCCAGCTCAGCAACTGCCAAAAGGGACTGTGCCCAAGCAGAGCAGCCCCCTGCTCTGCTGCAGGATGTATTTAGAAGAGGCAGTGGCTCCTAGAAGAGCTCATTTTATTATGTGCTAGCGACATCAGAGTGCAAAACCAAAATAACAGGCACGTACAATGCTCCCGCAGTAAGCACAAAGATGCATCAAAGAGCTTGGAATCACTCAGAAAACAAAAAGGCAGCAATGGAAAGAAAGTTTGAACACTGTATTTATGGAGCATTTAGTTTGCACCATGAAAAGTTAATTTCATTTATCACATGCCTAGTGCATTGGCAAATGGTCAAACTGAAATAAAGAAATGTGGGTTCGAATAGTTTAGCTACTCGATTCTTTCTTGTAAAGTCAAGTCTCTCAAAACTGCCATTTCTTAGAAGTGTTTTTGCTAAACAAAGCCCATGCCTGTCACAAGATCTCTTTCCATGTGACAACAAATATTATTCAAATGGACAAAAATTAATGTTATTGTCTTGACAGAGTATGAAAGGAGAATGAAGAACACGGGATGACATTGTCAGTGATGCAACAACCTTCCACTGCAAAAATAAGCAGCAAATAAGTAATATGCAGGTGGCCAGACAATGTGATCCTGCAAAGGCACATTCCAACCCTGTTACTGTCCACATGGTTCAGGTGCACTCACGTTGCATCAATTCACAGAGTTCATGCAACCTTAAATACTTACAGCCCCTCAAATCAAAACTTTACTTCAGTTTCAGGGAAGTACAAAGGCGGGAGAAATTAAAGAGAGATGAAAGCTATTCAAATCAATCTGAAGTTTTAACCAAGCTCTTTAGTAAAATAGAGGGTGTATTAAAACTCTAAAGAAGATAAGAAGAACATTACTTTATGCATATTACAGAAACATTGTTTGATTTTAACAAATTATATGTGGGCATTTCCAAGTTTTAAATACAAGACTTTACCAGCTTCTTAAGCTGCAATAGGACATTTGCATAAATACCAACATGAAGATCCAAGTTTCACATTTCCCAGCTATAGTTACCAGTCATCATTCCTCAAAAATTAAGATTCTCACATTTAGAAATAGTCTGCCATTTAAACTGCCATCTAATTTATCAAAGATCTCCTGTCTAAAGTGGACAAGTAGTCTCTCTCTTTGCAATGTTCAGAAGTTAACACTTTTTTTCATCACTTTTTTCTCTAGTATGAGTGTCCTGCTGTGAATCCAACAAAAAATGAAGAGCAACAGAAAGCATTGAATTATAAACAAACAAAGGCAAAAGCAAATGGGAATGGAAATAAAAAGCCAATAACTTTCTTATTGTGTTCTCATCTAACCTGTCCATTAAAAAAAAAAAAAAAAAAAAAAAAAAGTTCCAACAGGGCTATCCTAGTATGTTCCTCCTGCTGTTTGAGCAATGATTTACGAAGAAGTTGCACCTACAAGGCAGAAACATATTTGTAATAAGGAACTTCCATATACAACAGTTAATAAGCTTAACAAAGAATCTAAAAAGGGATGGAGATAAACTTTTATACTCCAATGCCAACAGAAGAATGTATGCCTGTTATGCAACAGCCAAACCCAGTTCAAATATCTCCACTTCTCTGGGAAAAACCCCACGGAAACTTTATCATTGCATTGAACAGGGGGAATGCAGGATGATGTTTCAGTTAAAAAAAAAAAAAAAAAATCAGATTTCTACTACACTAGAAAAGGTAGGGAGCTGAACCTAGGAGAGTTTTTTGGAAATCTGCAGAACATGAACTATTCTCTCCAAAAAGACAAAAGCTATCTAACAGGAACAGCTGATACGTCCTCTTTTCTGAACTTCAAAGATCAGGCATTTGTTTTCCAAGGACCACCCTGAGACAAGAGAAATAAAACAGTGGCAGGTGCAATTCTGACACTAGAAAAGGTAGGGAGCTGAACCTAGGAGAGTTTTTTGGAAATCTGCAGAACATGAACTATTCTCTCCAAAAAGACAAAAGCTATCTAACAGGAACAGCTGATACGTCCTCTTTTCTGAACTTCAAAGATCAGGCATTTGTTTTCCAAGGACCACCCTGAGACAAGAGAAATAAAACAGTGGCAGGTGCAATTCTGAAGGTCTAGAAGAGGAGAATATGCATTAGAGCTAGAATTAAATTATTTATGCTATGTTTGTAAAGTAACAGATAGACACAGAAAATATTTTTCTTCCTCACTGTTTGGAAGCTGCTGTGATCCTCAGAATATTTTATTATTACTGTAGGAATGTAACTATAAGCTTACTATAAGCTTTTGACTGTAAAACACCTGAAATGTCAAAAAATGTACGTTAGCACATTTTGTTTAACTACTATATTTGGCATATTTAGGAATGACAGGATCATGAAACAAATATGCTCTTTTTCCTTCAAAAATGCCTCAGCTTCTCAAGGGGCTTGATCATTTACAGCATTTCATTTCTAGTTTCTCCCACTCACAGCTAGATGAAGTTACTGGATCAAAGAATGGGAGCACCTCATCTGACCATTATGCTACACCATTTCAGAGTTTTGCAGAATTTCAGACTAAACCAGACACAATAAACAAAGGAAATGCATAGTCAGAGCTATAGCCACATTTACCTCATGTCATTGCTTTAATAACACTTGATCAAAGAAAAGGAAGAACAAAGCTGAAAAAAAAAATCTCAGTTACAGAGTGGGGTTTTTCAAAAAATGAAAATACACATTACATATTTGCTATATTTTTGTTTTCTCTGCTCATATTTTGACCACCATACCTTCGAATTTTTCAGAGTAGAAAACCATAACTGTGCAATAGGAAGCAGTAATTTACATGGTATTTTGACATTTAAGTTATAACAGTTAAAGTTCCCAATGGATAAAACTAGAAATAGAATAAAAATTGCAGAAAAATTAATAACTAGTCAGAGTTTGTACATTAATATTTGGAGAAATAAAGTCCTAACAGGAAGGGTATTATAAGTCTTTAGAAGGATCAAATAGAAAAAAGCCCTAGACAAATCAGACAAGTAAACTCTCAAAAGAAATGGTCAAAGAAATTAATTGGGACTTAGGAATGAAAATAAATGAATTTAACCTAGACCCTAGGCTAAAATGATAATGATTTCCTGGTGATGGATGGGAAGATAAATAAATTGCTAAAAAGCTGACTTACTGAATTATTGAATATATTGTTGGGAAAGAAAACTCATTGACATTAGCAGCAGAATACAACATAGAAATGGGATAAGTGTTTGCTGAGAAGAGAGAGTTGGACTCATCAGTTCAAGAGATCACCTTTAAGTCTTGTGCTCTTACATGAAGCAATAACTGGTGTCAACTTTGCCAACATATGATTGCACGCTTATCTTTATCCAGATCTGACCTAGAAATGAAATACTAAAAATAAAATAAAAAAAATAATAAAAAAAAAAATCAAAGTTTGACAGAAGAATCTCTAACTGAAATAACTTTTTGAGTCAGTAACAGGTCAGACTTGTTGTGATTAATTAGGATCATGATATAATTACGCTTACAGGGTCAGACCATCTGTTCATGAAAGTCCTAGCAGCTACTCAGAAATAACACTGTTTTCAATCTTTGTATTTATCACTAGTCAGGGTCTCCCTCTAATGCCAGCTTTCAGATATTAAGCACATAGTCAAATTAAAATGTCACCAGCGTGTTGAAAGACTGAATAAGAAACAGATTGGAAATTAAAACCACAATTCATTTGGTCAAATGAAATAGCAAAACAGAAGCGTACAACGGCTATAAATAAAACTACAAAATGATTCATCCACATCTCTCTGAGTTATACGCATCGTTTTTATGCATTCTGAGATCCTCTATGTTGTTCGTAGTTTAAGTCAAAGATGTTTTGAAGTTCCTTTCTCACCCTCAATACTGTGTGTTAAATATTAATATGGTGTATTGACTTTTTGCTAAACCAAGATTAAGTGAAATGATTGATGATATTGAATACTAATAAGTCTATTTTGGTGAAACATTATGTGGTTTTCCAAGACAGCTTTACTTATAATACATGCCAGTTATACCAGGTTTTTTTTCGTATTGATTCTCTCTACCTGGTATGACAGGCAAGCAGAAGCAAGTGTTTTCAGTGACATTTGTTTACCATATGAGAATTCCATTGTGCTGAATACTTTGTTATTAAAAAGTGATCTTTAAGGGTTGATTTTGTTTTTAACGAGTATATCATAAGCTACTAACTCACTGCAGCAATCTTATAAACACAAACTTCTTCAATTCCCATTTATCTAAGCTGAAGAGAAATCTTTAGGGTGTTGTCAGATTTGAAGAATATATTTTAAAGATATCCATTTCTTTTTTCTCCCTGTTCTCATGTCCCTTTGATGTTATGTTGCTATATTTGACATTTTACAGCCCCTGAATTTCCACAATTCTGCTTCAAAACCAACTCACACTAAATGCAAGCTTAACTATTTAATGCATCTTTTATAGACAGACTATCTATGCCAAATGTTATCATCTAATTTAACATGACTCCTATGCTCCCCAATTGTTCCTTTTCCCTTTTCAAGGACAGCTAAAGGTTAACATCTATTTTTTCCCCACAGAAACCACTGGAAATCCACACAGATGCAAGAGTTACACACCTACAACTTTTATTTCCTGTAGTAAACAATCATAGGTGCTCTGCTGTTCACTCAATCCCTCTTCCTTTTAACTATGATTACTCTTGGTTTTTTTTCCTGTCCTTTGTTCCTGTTAGAGCAGCCCCCACTTGATGGCTATGATGATAAGAATCTGTTACTTCTGTACGGTACCAAAACCAGGCATTTTTTTTTTAGCTTAAACATTTTAGCTTGAACAGTTCTTGCCCAGGACACTGAGCCAGTGGGCCTAGCACTGTGTACGGTGGTATTGTCCTGTCCCTGTGACTGGAACAGCAGGACAGACCTTTGAGAGCAGAGGCAAGGGGAGAAGAAGGACTCGTGGCTCCAACCTTGTTGCTAGCAAAAGCAAAGTCAGTATATTTGAGACTATTTTCTGCTTATGAGATGAGAAAAAGGAATCTTTCTGCTTTGCTGAATGGCCAATAAGAAGACAGAAAATATAAAGAAGTTGTAAAATACAATTTTGTAAAAAGAAATTGGGTAACTTGAGAGAACTCTATTTGCACAATACCAAAATCTAATGTTTCCATATGGAAACCACAGTGGATTTAATTTCAGTAGTAATTCTTGATTACCACCATGCAAGTCAAAATGCAGGGGGTGGCACGCAGAATGAAACAGATGAATATCCTTATAAGGATTAAAAAGGAAAAAATGCTATTTTAACGTTTTCTATAGCAGAAGTTGTCAACTGATACTGCACAGTATTGTCACAGATGTTAACCCACCTTCCCAATCTTCCTCCAGTTATTTCAATAAATATGTTCAGTACAGCCAATACCACCAGTAACCACCTAATTCACTTGCACTGTGTGAACACTAAGCATTTTGGATACAGGAGATGAAACCAAAACTACACAAAGGAGTAGTTTTTATGGTCATCAGGGTGTATCGTCTTTCTTCATCTGAATTTAAGCACCTGCAAAACATCAGTGTGCCTAAGAGAAGTTGGAGAAGCTTGAATTTCATCTAAACTTTTGAAACAGAACTAATACTGTACTGAAGGAGCCTTTCGCCCTTCCCCCACAGGACATGAACACTGGTTGCTTACAGACCAAGACTTAATAACTTCTAAATACTTCCAGATATTGAGTGTATTTCAAGGAACTGCTTCACATTGTTTTAATCTCAGAATCTCTGTATCACAGAAGAGGGATAAGGAAATGAAGTTTTGTAGCCTCAGAGATTGTCTGTGTTATGGAAAAGTCTCAAGAAATACAAACTAGCACTTCACTTGCATAAAAAGCATTACCAACATGAGAAAGACCTTGTTCCACTACTTTCTCCAGCCTTCTCAAAACTTACTGAATTACATAGGTAATGTAGTAATACTATGTAGTAATTACATGTAGTAATACTATGAGCTGTCCAGAATAACTTTGCAGAATAACACACAGTTGTGCTATCCAACACCTGAGGACCTGACCACAGCAGTTGTCTCAGCAGCTTGTATTAAATACCCTTGTTTTAGGTATACCAAAGTGAAAACCAGACACAATTAGAGTCAGTTTTGAAACACCACCACTGAAAAGTGTTTGGAGAAAATCAGAACATTTATCAGAACCTGGTCCAAACTGATACAGTGTTACCTAATATTACCAAACCCTATTATTCAGCATGGCTTGTGTATTGGCTTTGGTTGGCAAGGTTTGGGTAGCAGGGGAGCTACAGGGGTGGCTTCTGTGAGAAGCTGACAGAAGCTTTCCCTGTGCCCGCTGCTAACCAAGGCCAAGCCAATCAGCGATGGTGGTAGCGCTCCTGGGATAATGTATTTAAGAAGGGAAAAAAAAAAACCCTGCAGGGGAACAGTAGCCAGAAAGAGAGAAGTGAGAGGATGTGAGAGTAAACAGCCCTACAGACACCAAGGTCAGTGCAGAAGGATGGGGAGAAGGTGCTCCGGGTGCCAGAGCAGAGATTCCCCTGCAGCCCATGATGAAGACCATGGTGAGGCAGGCCCACGGGGGAGCAGATCTCCACCTGCAGCCTGTGGACGACCCCACACCAGAGCAGTGGGATGCACCCAAAGGAGACTGTGACCCTGCTGAAGCAGGTTCCTTGCAGGACCTGTGGACCCATGCAGAGAGGAGCCCCACACTGCAGCAGGTTTACTGGCAGGACCGGCGACCCTGCAGGGGACCCACGCTGGAGCAGGTTGTGAAGAACTGCAGCCCATGGGAAGGACTCACTTTGAAGAAGTTCGTGGACTGTCTGCTGTGGGAGGGACCCCAGGCTGGAGTAGAGGAAGAGTCTGAGGAGGAAGAAGGAGTGGCAGAGACAGCATGTGATGAACTGACCGCAACCCCCATTCCCCGATCCCCTTGTGCTGCTCGGGGGTAGGAGGTAGAGAATTCATGAGTGAAGTTAAGCCTGGGAAGAAGGGAAGGGTGGGGGGGAACACATTTTAAGATTCAGGCATTTTTTTATCCTCTCCTACTCTAATTTGATTGGTAATAAATTAAAGTAATTTCACCAAGCTGATGCTGAAGAGGAGAATGACAGAGCAGCTTGGGTGGGCACCTGGCATTCAGACAGGGTCAACCCATCACAGCTCAATTTCCCATTACCACTTCTATGGCTCATCAACACTGAGAGTTATCATTTAGTGAGCACAGCTGCACTGAGCTACAAACATGCAGGACCAACAGCTATCACCTCACTGATGGTCACCTTCCTATGGTTATGTCTTTTTTTTTTTTTTTTTTTAATATCTGCTACTTTGGAGTTCGAGGCTAGCAAAAACTACCTAGTATCAGTTTTTTTCTGATTATTTTTTCTTGAATAAATTAATAAGTCCAGAAAACACAACACCAAATTTTATTCCCCTCAAGGTGATCCAGTGTCATACCTGTCCCAGGAAAGATTTCCACTGCTTCAAGATGTACCTTAAATGAGAAATCATAGAATAGAACCGTAGAATGTTTTGGGCTGGAAGGGACCCCTACAGGTCATCTAGTCCAACACCCCTGCAGTCAGCAGGGAAAATGCTAACGAGATCAGGTTGCTCAGAGCCCCATCCAACCTGGTCTTGAATGTTTCCAGGGATGGGGCCTCCACTACCTCTCTGGACAACCTGTGCCAGTGTTTCACCAACTTCATTGTAAAGAATTTCTTCCTTATATCTAGTCTAAACCTACCCTGGTTTAGTTTAAAGCCATTACCCTTTGTCCTGACACAGCCGGACCTACTAAAAAGATTGTCCCCATCCTTCCTATAGGCTCCCTTTAAGTACTGAAAGGCCGCAGTAAGGTCTCCCCACAGCCTTCTCTTCTCCAGGCTGAACAACCCCAACTCTCATATCTGCACAGATATCTCAAGACATTTTCAAAGGCCCCAGATTAATAAGACAGAAAAACAATTAGCATCCAAATTCATAGTCACTTTTGGAAAGTCTCTAACTACATAAAGAACTAATTGTCCATAAAGCACAAAATACATGAAACAATAAAGGCTGAAGGATTTAAGCAGAGACTAAGTTTAATCTACTCTTCACTTTCTAGCCTTTAACTTTCAGTGCGTGAAAGAACTTCTCATCCAACCTTCTGGCAACTTGACTTCTTTAATAATCTATGGCATAAATCCAAACAAAGTTCATCCCTGGCTCTCTTTTACCGTTGCACTGGTCCCAGTGCAGACCCCTGAGGGACACCACTTGTCACCAGTCTCCATCTGGACATTGAGCCATTGACCACTACCCTCTGGATGCGACCATCCAGCCAGTTCCTTATCCACTGAACAGTCCACCCATCAAATCCATAGCTCTCCAATTTAGAGGCAAGGATGTTGTGGGGACAGTGTCAAAGACTTTGCAGAAGTCCAGATAGAGGACGTCCATTGGTTTTCCCTTGTCCACTGTTCTTGTCACACCATCATAGCAATGTCAGAGCACAACTTTTGATTATTTTTTTCCTAGCAATTATCTTTTTATTGTTCTTTTAAATGTCAGTTAAACTTTCTCAAAAGAGTTTTCCACAGTTACGGTCCATTTTGTTATTGAGTGGTAATCGTTGTTCAAAACACCCTCCAATCCAAACAGCTGCCTCGTTAGTTCAGCTACCAAAGCTCAAAGTCGAATATACTAAGCCTTCTCATATGAAACCTAGGCACATTTTACTATTAGTATATGGCCTAAAGGATGACAAAACCAGTTAGCCTAGGTACAGGGTACTGCTTCACTGACACACACAGTGCTGTGATGATATCCCAATCGGCAAGAAGAAATAGGCAAAAGTCATATGTAACCCCAAATTCCCCTAAGGACTATGAACTGTCTTAAGGGAGACCTTCATTGCCCAGTATGGGTTTTTTTTTTTTTCTTTATTTGGTTGAGACCGTTTTCCAAATAGGAAGAAAAACCCACAGAAAACCAGTCCCTAACCAGAAAAAAAGGAACTAGAAGTTGATTGCTATTACATAACATTACCTTCAACACAGGGCCAGGAATGATGCGACGGAAGCTGTACTTACATTTTCATTTACACCACCACCACAACTTTGTGTCTCAATTGCATCTCAAATTTGCAGGATTTCCCACATCAAACATGCCCTCTTAAAGATATGAAACAGAAGATTGTTACCAGCTGGGCTCTTATACCAAAAGCAACTCAAGGATTACATGTAATCTACTTCTAATTTTCTTGCACAATATTTTGTAGCACTCTACTTTTATGAGCTTTGTGACACTATAGGAATTAAATGTACACTGATGTAATGCAAGTTCAGTGCAAAAACCAGAAACCCTTTGCTTGAGCTAGGGGGAAGAAAAAAAATTAGTTATGGCTGCCAGTTGGTCATTATTCATTTTGGTTTTCCAGGTGTTAAAGCTTGACGTTTTTAACTTTTTTTTTTTTTTGAAGTGTTGTTGATAGTCTTTGATATGTTCAGTACTGAAACTGCTGGGACCATTCTTTCATCTTGGTTTTTCTGCCTGTCCTTCAGAACAACGTTGTATGCCAAAAAAAATCCCAAGAATGTGAGATGCAAATCTCCTTCCTTTTTTTTTGAAAGACGTACAAGGGCAGTCTACTTAATTTTCAACACTGTAAATAGCATACTCCTCTTGGTAAATGGTCATGCTGCTCAAAAAAATTAAGATATCACAGAAGTTGGGAAGATTATTTTTTGAAGGTTCTTTTCCCCTTTCCTTCTACATTTTTAATTTATACAGCCAAAAGCAATTTTACTTGACTAAATTCATACGACAAAGACTTTGAAAAACAGGAGCTGTAAACTCCAGCTGTGGTGGCTGTGTCACTGCTTCCTGTGTTATAATTTCTTTTCCACATAGATAGATGGAAGTTTTGTTTTATTACCACTTACTATTTGAAAAAATAAAGCACAGGGAAGACATGTTGTCCCTTCCAGAGACAAGGCTGGTTTTGGAAGAAAATCAAGGTCAAAAATAAAACAGCACATATATGGCGAGTTCTGAATACACAAAGTAATAGCAAGACAAAAATAACAATTAGTATTCAGGATTCCAGCCGGAATTTGTTTACTTTAGCAACAGCTATTTATCTTACCCGGTTATGTCTGGGCAGTCTCAATATTTAGGTTTGAAAGTGACTGGAAATTATAATGCCATTTCTATTTTTCTCTAAAAATGTATTTTGTTGGTATGCAAGATCCATGCTGAAAGCCTGACCCCAGTGCTCAGCAGTGGTATTATTCCATCTATCTTCAGAGCAACACCTGTGCATGGTACCAACTTCAGCTGTCTGCACAGCAAAGATGCTGCAGAAAAGTGGCACGCTCATGTTTGGCAGCACATGCTCAGCATTGCCCAGGATGAAAGAAAAGGTTCAGGAGACCACTAGATTTTTGTATGTGCTGAGAAAATCTGTTTTAGTTTTGATAGAAGCATTGGAGACTTGAAAAGGTAAGTACAAATCTGACTGCATCTCACACATTACGATAAAATCAAGATTTCTTTAACGAAGTCCAATGTTTCATTACATTCTGAAAGTATGGTAGCTTCAGCTTTCCAATTAGACATGAAATGTGAGGTAAAAAGCTTCATACACACATCGGTGACTTTTCTGAGGCTGTAATTGCATGGGATTGCATGAAATTGGCTTGTGCTGAACATTGGTCCAAAAAGGCTTAGATCTACTATGACATTCTTTTTCTCCTTCTTTATATAGACTACAGGTACAATTATCAGCAAAATAAAAAGCAGCAAGGCCACATTGTCTTTTCCACTAGAAATACCATGCTCCGCAGAAAATAATTTGCAAAATTTACATTTAGCAGCTTCCAAATTCCGGGTAGTTGTTACAACACGTACATTCAGGGAATATTAGGTGCACGCAAATACATCTAAACTTTAAATTAACACTGCTGCATTCCCACATAGACTATTCATTAAGGTAACTCTTATGTTATGAGCAGCTGGCATGCCTCTCCAGTAACAGCATATAATATTTTAAGTAAACAGTACCTAGAGTTTAGTGCTGGAGCTCCTGTATAGCATTTACTACAGTAACATTCCAAACTAATTTAAAATACAATAAACTTGAGCTAGCTGTTGTGTTTTCAGTAGTTGGCATCTTTAGATTAGTTTATAGGAAAATGCTCATAATGGCTTCATACATTTCAGTTTTTATTTTATATATATTTTTATACTATACATCTGTAACTAGATATAGCTATACATGCCAACTAGAAAGAATGGAAGATGGAAATGACTTTGTGAAATATTTTGCCTGACAGAAGTTACCTTAAAATGAATCAACGTTTCAATAAACAATTTTGACTGCACACAATATTACAATAAACCTAATAGCTGAATTCACCAGGCAACCACCAATTATCCACATCTGAAGCACTCATTGCTAGATACTTATAAAGCTGTATCCAGGCAAAAGTAAAATATATCCTTATATCACAGCACACAGATGCTTCATTACAGACTCAAGTTTGATAAAAAGCAATT